GAGAGAGAGAGAGAGAGAGAGAGAGAGAGAGAGAGAGAGAGAGAGAGAGAGAGAGAGAGAGAGAGATTGGCTCTCATGAGTATGCCCTTGCTGCTTTGTTTCCTAGCCAAGTATACGCCTCTTCCCCCTTTGCAACGTGAGTAGCCGCTGGCCATAACTGTGGCCAGATGCATTTGAGAAGGTGTGTTCTTAGTATGCCCTAGTCATTCCGTGTTATCATAATGGTTGTGGTAGACGAACACCTCGAGGAGGCTGGAAAAAGGTATTCAGAACGTCAGTTCCTGCACATATATCTTCTGCATTCCTCTGTGTTCAAGTGAATGTTGCACACAAGTTATGCTTCTGTGAGCGCACACGTGCTTTATGTATGTGTACATCTGATGACAGCTAAAGCTTTGTTTCCCGGACATAATACAAGCACAATAGGGTTGTCCTCTGCTCCCGTTGTCCGTCAAGGAATCTGCAACATGAATGCACCGGAGATAATTTATAAGACAACAAGGCATCACCCTGCTTGCCAACTTTTGTTTGCACTTTGAATGAGCACTTACTGAATAGAACTCCGAGCAGCTGCTCTTCAAGTTCTGAACCTCGTTTTCATCACGAAGTTTGCCTGCAACCCATGCTCTGACCACTTCCATCTGCATTTCCACAGAGCAAAAGAAACAAAACGCCAGAAAAATAAAAACCAAAGAAGTTGGAACATCACACAAGGACCCCGCGCAGCGCACTTTGAACAGAACACAATACTCAGCTACCGGCCGCTGAGAGGAGAGCACAACGTGACAACTGCCTTGAACCTTTGTTGGCAGAATCGTCTACAGACACCCCCCTGCTTCATCCTCAGCCCTCTGGCAGATTACGGCTGTCATTCGGAACCCGCGTCCCCGCTCTGTCCAGTGGCTGATACTCTATCTGGCGCTGCCGATCAACGAATGGTTGAGTCGACGCTGCAGCAGGCACCACACAACAGCGAGCTCTATGCCCTGTGCGCAGCGGGATGGACAGAGGATATGAGCCACTGCCTGCTTTTCTGCCACACTGCAACAACCTTTTGGGCGGAGGTGTCAACATTCTGGGGGTCGGTCCCCGGCAAGGCTGCTCCCTCTGAGACCGTCTCCAGACTGACCGGCCTGAGAGTCCCAGTCGACCTCTCAAACTGGGAGCTCAAACTGTTTCAACGCCTGTGGCTGCATGCACTGTGGTTCATTTGGCCGAGGCAATGCCAACACACGATAACCCAGACCCACCATCAAACCTCCCTAACATGAACCGCCTTCCAACAAGACTTGGAGCTTGCCGACCGGACCCAGACAAATTGAAAAATCAGGGATGACCCCAGCAAGGAAACTGACCTCGGGCAACTTCTTCTTGCACACTCTTCGAGCTGGCAGAATCGCGACAATAACAGGGAGGCATCCGTTTTTCACATGGCCCCGCAGTTCCCCCCAACCCCAGTCACCACAACCCTTCCCGCCCCCCCCCATATCCCCCACACCCCCCACAACCCCCCGTCATCCAGCTACTCAACACCCCTTTCGCCTGTCTCCCCGTGAAGAGCAGAGCCCGCCTGTGCCGGGAGCGGCACGGTCGGAACATGGACATGGCCTCAGTTGTGGATGACAACGGGAGCGGCGCATTACTGGAACCATTGACAAGGACGACATCAAGGAGAGCACAATGTAGATTGTGGACTTAAAGGTGATGACAGACTGGCCCAGCCTGTGGCGCGTGGAGCCTTTGGTCCCCTGCTCAAGACCGAACTCCGGCAACCTGTCCCTGGGGTCTCCCAGGGAAGCCGGCTTATCCTGGCGCCAAGCCACACAGTGCGGGGGTTCCCGGGGAAGTCAGAGTCTTCTGGCTCTGACTAAACGCTGGACGGTCTACCTTCGTGATTGACTAGTTGATTGACTGACGTGTCGATTGCGTGCTGTTGCTAGACCTGACTGCTTTGGAAACAAAGGACGAGGTGTGCATGGGAGCGAATGGATGGAAGCAGATGTGCGGTTCAGTCGAGGACTGAACACTGGTGGGTCGGCTGATTGTCTACCTCCAATGGCAATTAGACAGAACAAGGCACACTCAGGGCACTCGAGGATAGTCGGTGCTTAGATTGCAGTTGCTTAAGAGTCAAGACTGGTGCAGCAACCCTGTTCAGAAGTAGTCTGGGGCCCAGAACTCAGCCCCAGGCAACGCAGACCAAAGTTGGTCTGCGCTGGGCTGTGTGACCAGGACACGCCCAGGCCTGAGTCTGTCGAGTTTGGCTGTGTGACCAAACACTGCACCCAGGAAAGTCAAGGGTCAAAGTCAACTGTAGAGTCAAAGGTACCGCGCCCAGGCCCTTGGTTGGATACACTCACTTGTTGTGCGAGGTACCCAGACAAGCATCCAGGCCGAAGGGAATTCAGTTCAGGCCAATCTGGGCCTTCGTTGCATCAAGATCTGGACGGCTACCGGTTGCAGCATCCGGGGTCCAGACCCCGAGTCAACCCTAAGCGTTGACCTCCTTGGCTTTGACATTCATTCTGTCTTGCGTTGATGCTGACTTCACACGTTCACTTCAACGCTGGCTTGACGCTGTGACGCTGGCTCAACGCTGGCTCGACGCTGCGACGCTGGCATTGTGATTCAGCGAGGCGCTGCTGGTCCGGCATGGTGACTAGCTTGCACCTGTCTTCTTGGCATGCCGACGTGGCAGCTGCCATGCGCTGTCGCTGATGTGGCTGCTGCCACATGTATCATTGGCTGACATGGCTGCTGCCACGTGTTCTTCTGTACGCTGACGAAGCTAAGCTACGTGACTTGTATTGCTGTTCTGATTATCGTCATTCAGGAGGAGATCGGGACTGTGGACAGATTGTGGATACGTACCTGGTTGTCTTCATGTCGACATTGCTCCAGCGCTGATGAGGGACTGATTAGACGTGCCACGTGGCACATTGAGGTTACTTCAGATACTCGTTCAGACTATTGATAATTGAGGTGGTGATTGAGGAGGGAGCCCGAAGCACGAGTGGGCCTTGTATTTATTTCCTCTCCTTTGTCTAATCTCCCTCCTCTCTCCTTTGTCTGTGTATGATTATCTCGTCTCATTCTGTCTGGACACGATTTTGACTATTGGTAATCATCAGCTGGTTGACATTCATCTGGGCTTGCATCGTTGACGACTGTCTTCATGATCTGGGTTCATTGCAATTTGGTATCAGAGCAGTTCTCCTGATGACGACGATTGTACACGTGTGCACGCGCCAGGTGGCGCGCAGGTAAGTGTGGTGCACACGTGTGTTGAATAGGTGATGACGTGACAAGAGATACGCCGGGGGTGCTGACGTGGCACAAACTTCACCGGCGAGAAGAAGATCCCAACGAGGCTGATGACGTGGCAGTAGGGACAGCGACCAAGAGGTACCGCACGCCAGCCTGGATTGCGATAGTGACGTGGCATTGCGATCCCCTGCTGACATGGCATATGTTGCGCCGCATCTGAAGACCTTGTTGCTTGATTGCTGACGTGGCACTTTTTATGCTGCTGACGCGCAACAGGGTCTACTGCAGATGCGGACGTGGCCTTGGGGAAACACAAGATTTTCTCAAACCTGATTTCCAAGATGTTTAGTGTGTGGAAACTACTCTTGGTTCTTTTTCCGATGACATTCTTAGCGGGTGAAGGATCTTCCGATCCCAAGACTAGGAAATAGGCAGAGACAAAGAAAGAAGAGTTACTGGCTCTATGGAACCAGCTAATGAATGATTTGCATCTGTCGGGACCTTCTAAAGCAAGCAATTACGGTCCTGGAAGTTGTGGCTGCCGGAGCCGAAGTGTTGCATACTGTAAAGGTGCAGACCAGAACAAGAACCAACCTCTCATACAAAGTACAAGATAGCGTAGCGGAAGACTTAGATACCAATGATCCGGACAATCAATATTGCGATGCTTCCCCAACATACATCATCATCGTTCCATGGTGTGAAGGGGCCTGGCGCTCACACAGGAAGAATGCGCCAGTCCCCGCCATATGCAGACGAAGAGGAGGGGGGTTAGACGAAGAAGATGGAATGATGGGAATGTCGTCAACACCAAGTCTGTGATACAGGTCCCAAATAATCCTCGTCCAATGTCTGAATCCCAATGTCGAGTCTGGATCCAATGTCGTCAAGTCTCAAGTCACAACTCTCTCTCTCTCGTAGTCCGCAGATACTGAGAAGTCGGATAGGAAGAGGGTGAAGAAGAGATCGTGGACTTAGAAGAGGAAGAAGAAGAACTCTCTCTCTCTCTGTCCGGTACTAACATGTGAAGTTGGCGCCTTGATGCAGGCACCTCGAAGATGGAGCTGGAGCTATGGCGCCACAGGTAAGTCTCGCTGGCCTCCGCCAGCCATCTCTCTCCAACACTACTACCACTACCACTACTTAGCGCCCTGCGCTGAAGACTACTCCTGCAGCTACTAGCGCCCAGCGCTGAAGACTACTGCTAGCGCTAAGCTACTCCTGCAGCGCTCCTCCAGAGTGCTGCTGCCGTTTCCTGAAGACTGCCTCCGGCCTTCTGTCCAACTACCTCCCCGTGAAGTGCATGGGAACTCCCTATGTACTACTCGGCCTGCCTCCTGACTGCCTGCAGCTGCAGGGCGAGGCAGTCCAGGAGGCTGCTCTTGCCATTGCCAGGGCAGGCCAGGGGCTGGCGTTGCAGCTCCTGCTGAGGCTGGCGTGGGGAACAGACCAAAAATAGCCTGTTCCCAAAACCCTGGTTTGTTGCCCGAGTTCTAGGGCAGGACGATCTTATGAGGGCCCGAAAGTGGCCCTCAGTTTCAGGCTGAAAAGACTCAGGGCCTGAACGGCCCTGTTATAGGCTGAAAACGAAATAGGGCCTGCAAGCCCTCGTTTTCAGTTTTCAGGCTGAAACGACACGGGGCCTTTAAGCCCTTATTTCTAGGCTTTTAGGCTGAGAATGCGGAACGGGCCCTGCAGGCCTGTGTGGCTAGTATGCCACACCCCCCCCTCCTTGAAAGACCAAGCTTACCTGCGAGGGCCAAACTGTCTGTCTGAGGGAGGGACCACAGTCCGGATGGGAGGGGCAGGTTGTGAAGTTCCCTGAGCTAACCTTTGCTTTTCGTAATGAGCGTAGATCAGCGGTGCGGTGATGACCTTGTACTATCGAGGCTTCTGAAATCCACCGAGTGTCGTCGCGATCGCATGATTTGAATGTAACCTTGTACTATTGAGGCTTGCTGCCTTACTTGCGATCGGTGATGACGCGGTCAACTTCCTGATGACCATCCATAGAAGGAGGGTTCTGCGATCGTCGGCCCGGGAAGTCGTTGCTCTTAGCTGGTGTGTATGTCGCCAGCTTCGAGGCGTAGATGGATCGTCAGATGCGGGGGGATGTTGATCACAAATGAAGGGCCATTGGGCTCATCGCCCACGGCTGATGTTACGGGCCATGGTCCAAACCATTTGGGAAGCAGTTTGCGTGAAACATCCTGTTCAAGTGCAAACTCTTCCGCGGAGACCCAAACCAGATCACCAACGCGGATAGGACATGGCACGCAACGCCTGTTGCTTGCTGCTGCATGCGGACTTGGGACTTTTGCATGTTCGCGCGGGCTTGAGCCAACAATTCCCTGTACTTCCGGACGGAAGCGGGAGAGCAAGCGGCGTCAATGTGGGCTGGTCGTGGGAGGAGCAGATCGGCGAAGATACAGCCTTTCCGTCCACCGTGGTGCAACTCGAATGGAGTCATGCCAATAGCCGGGTGCACCGAAGTGTTGTAGGCGAACTCCATGTCGGGGAGGCGATCAACCCAATCTTTCTGATCCGGACGGATGAGCGTACGAAGCATCATTTGAGCGTTTTGATGTGCCCGCTCCATTTGCCCGTCCGTTTGTGGATGCCGAGCCGAACTTGGTTTCATCTTCGTGTCGGACTCCTGCATGAGAGCAGTCCAAAATGCCGATATGAAGCGAGTGTCGCAGTCGCTGATTATGTCTTCTGGTACACCGTGGCCGCAAATCCAGCCGGTGAGCAAGAGGCGTGTCAGCTCGGGAGCCGTGGAGTAGTACTTGCAAGGGAGAAAACGCGCGTACTTACTCAAACGGTCCACGACTGTTAGGATGTCGTCGTGTCCGAGGCGATCGCGGGGAAATGGTCCGGTGACATCCATGGCAATGGAGAGGCCGGGTTCCTGTGAGATAGGCATCAGGCGCAACTCGCCGTAGGGATTGCGGTTGTGGGGCTTGCTGCGTCGGCAAACTTCGCAAGAGTCGCAATACCGAGTGACATCGGTAATGAGGTCAGGCCATCGGAATCGTTGCCGAAGTCATGCAATAGTGCGATTGACTCCAAAATGGACGGCGAGGCGCGAGTCATGGTACTCACCAAGAAGGCGAGTCCGAAGACGGGGGATACACAATAAGTCCTTGCCTCTCGAGTGGAGGAGCAAGTACCCGTCGGCAATGCGATAGTGGCTGGCCGGCGGGTGATCCGAAGATAGTTGCACATACAACGTGGCGAAATCCGGATCAGGCTCATAGCCCCGGATGAAGTGTCGCTGGAGCTCCTCATCGAATACGAAGGCATGATGTGTCATAGCGCAAAGATCGGGTCTTCGCGAGATTGCATCTGCTGCGTGATTGGAGAGGCCGGGAAGATGTTTCGGTGTGAAGTCAAATTGGTCGATGAAGTACATCCATCGTCCGATCGTGCTGCTCACCGTATCCTGCGTCTTGTAGTAGGTCAATGGGTTGTTGTCCGTGACCCATGTGAACCTACGACGCCCAAGGAGGAAGTGCCGCCATCGCTTGAGAGCCATCACGAACGCGAGCAGCTCCTTCTTCCTTGCATCATCAAGTGAATTGATGGGAGGCACTTTGTGGCTGAAATACTCCACACGGTGCCATTCGTCGTTGTCATGTTGTTCCAAGACTGCCCCAATGCCATAAGCCGGAATCGTCGGTTGTCAATGCACCGGTCGATTGACTTGTGCGTGTGACCGTCGGCCAACGTGACTTGCGTGGGCTGTGACTTTCTCCAGACGCGTGGCCCAAGGCCAACGCGTACCATAAAGTCCTGGCTCATGTAGTTGCGAGTTACTCCGCAATCGATCAAAGCGCTGCAGGTCGCCTCTCCGATCTCAATGCGTACATATAACAATGGTGCGTCGATGTCGTCGTACCGTTGTGTCTTGAACTCGCGGTCAATCTTCGCAATGTAGTCGTAGAGGTCAACAACCTCTACTCCGACGTCCGTCAACGGAGTTGGTACTACAATGTGCAAGTAATCCCGCAATTGTGCCATGAGCACGTTGCAATGCGGTTTCGGCAATCGACCGGTCGGGGGAACGGGCATCCATTGGAAGTCCGCGAACGTCAATGGGTCGAGCTCTTCAAGTCTTGACCATGACGTCGAATCCCCGGCGATAGATGGCGGCGAAGCTGCCGAATCGGTTGCCAATGGTGGTGAAACCGTGCATGCGGTGGATTGTTGCACGTGGAGTGGTTGGTCCAACGGTGGGACCAAGTGGACAGCATAGTCCTTGTAAGCATACCGAGAACTTACGACATTCGCATCCTCCCCAGATGTGTAGGAGGTCGCTAGCAAGGCGGCCGAATCTGGCGGAGTGGGAGGTGGAGTCGCCTCACCTCCCGCGCAACTCATTTTCCCGAGTTGATGCGAGGCCGAACATCCTCCTTGCCTTGATCCTGGCAGAGGGAGGCCTTGTGCTTGGTGCTATTGCACCAATAGCAACAGCCGTATCGGCCATGGTACTTGTATTCGGCCTCGGTCAAGTGAAACTTGACCCATGGTGTTGGCTGTCCGTTTCCGGCCGGCGATGCGGTTTTCGCCTTCCCGTTTCCTCGGGACTTGTTGTTGCTTCGCGGCTGGACAGCAGCCACCTGATCTCCCTCACGTGATGCTTGGGTGGCTGCCGGGTCTTCCACAATGTTGTCCGGCTGGACTGCAGCGACATGCTGCGGACGCGGACCAGATTTTCCTTTCTCCACATAGGTTGGCTGCCATGCTGATTTCTCGTGTGCAGTTGGTCTGTTGGTCTTGATGATCTCCCTTGCCTTTTCGATGATTTCGGCGAAGGTCACGTATTGCTCGCGATCACCAAGTGCAAGGCTCAAGGCGGCGCACGACCGGTTGTAGAACTCCCGGCGCAGATGCGAAAATGGCAATTCGAGATCCGGCGTTGCCGCGATCTTTTGCCATTCCGTGAGCCAGTCGCGTGTTGCTGTGTTGCTGTGTTGCCTTGCGTCATAGCGAAGAGGCGGTTGATGGCGAGTGCTGGCGCGTCGTCCACGATGAACCGCTTCTTCCATAGCCTTGTTAACTCTTGCCGAGAGATCTTATCTTTCAGATCTGCGACGTCGACGCCGTGGACGGTTGCCAGGTGGCTCAGCCAGATTTGGCATCCGCCCTTTGAGTTGAGGAACAACGCCCCGATGTACGAGTAGTTGGGGACGAACAGAATCCGAATTTGCGTCGCAAAGCCCTCCCACCAGAGGACCGGGTCTTGATGCGTATAGTCATCGAACTTCTCGATTTGGAATGTCGGCATCTTGTAGTGCTGCGGACTGTTGCCATCCTTGTTGGGCAGCTGGTGCAGTTGGTGAACCTCGGTCTTCAAGGTGTCCAGCTGCTTGCTGATGGTTGCTGGTGCAGCGAAGGTGCTGATGTCGCCGAGCATTGCGACTACGTGGTCAACTCGATGTTGCTCCTCCGGTGTCGCGTCGTCGTGCTCCTCGGAAGGTTTAAAGGGCCAAAACTTGAGCTGCTCGATGCTTGTGGCTTCATGCCGCTGTAACAGATCCTGGGCCTCCTTGCGGCGTGCCTGGGTATCTACTTCGGCTTTGGCTTGAAGCCGCTGCTTTTCAACTGTTGTCGTCGCTTCAGCTTGTAGGCGGGCAGCCTCGGCTGCCGCCTGACGCTGTTCTTCAGCCTCGATTAGTGCGAGCTGAGCTTCGAAACGCTGTCGGTACTCGACAATGGACTCATTGGCCAGTTGGCCTGGCATGCCCAAAGCTGAGCCCGTCATGGTGGCGGGGCACTGCTGACGTGGCACTGTTGCTGACGTGGCACTGCTGGCGTGGTACTGCTAACGTGGCACTGTTGCTGACGTGGCACTGTACCAAACCGGAATGCACGCAAAAGGGGTGGGTGGGAGGGAAAACGCGGGTGGGTGACCAACCCAGCTATACTTTCCTCCCTGTCCTAATCAACAGAATAAAATAAAAAAATAAAAGAAGAAGATCACCTTTTTTTTTTTTATATATATATATATCGATCTGCTATGAGTGAGGCATGTATGAGCGAAATCTAGGCTAGGTTCCGCAAAGTTTCGACTTTCACAAAATGCAATCTTGAATTTTTTTTTTGCGAAATAGAGTAGGGATGCGATTTTCAGAAAAGAACTAAATCCAGTTTCCGAGCATATGACAACCTCTTAATATGCCTAAAACGAAATGATGATAGGCTTTGCAAGATTTCAATTTTCAAAAAAAAATTGCGAGATAGAATGGAGATTCGATTTTCAGAACAAAATAAATCCGATTTCCGAGAATATGACCACTTCTATCGTTTTCCTAATATGCCTAGAAAACGAAATACTAACATCTGAAATTTTTGGCTATGTATGCGAATATCAGAGAAACGAAATGCTACTTTCAGAAATTTTCAGATAAAACGAAATGCAATTATCGAAAATTATCAGATATTTGTTGCGTGAAAACGAAATACTAATATCAGAAATTTTCAGGTAAAACGAAATGCGATTATCATAAATTTTTAGATATTTGTTGCGAGAAAAAAAATTCAAAGATTTGACGGTCCTACTTGATTTACTAGTGAGTAATCAATACAGCAAGCAAGTTGGCTACTTGATTGAGCGGGTCCTCTGAATGAGAGGTCCGCTCCGATACCAAATTGTTGCATACTGTGAAGGTGCATACCAGAACAAGAACCGACCTCTCATACAAAGTACAAGATAGCGTAGCGGAAGACTTAGATACCAATGGTCCGAACAATCAATATTGCAATGCAGCCCCAACATACATCATCATCGTTCCATGGTGTGAAGGGGCCTGGTGCTCACACAGGAAGAATGCGCCAGTCCCCGCCATACACAGACGAAGAGGAGGGGGGTTAGACGAAGAAGAGGGAAAGATGGGAATATCGTCAACACCAAATCTGTGATATAGGTGCCAAATAATCCTCATCCAATGTCTGAATCCCAATGTCGAGTCTGGATCCAATGTTGTCAAGTCTCAAGTCACAACTCTCTCTCTCTCTCGTAGTCCGCAGATACTGAGAAGTCAGATAGGGAGAGGGTGAAGAAGAGATGGTGGACTTAGAAGAGGAAGAAGAAGAACTCTCTCTCTCTCTGTCCGGTACTAACCTGTGAAGTTGGCGCCTTGATGCAGGTACCTCGAAGATGGAGCTGGAGCTATGGCGCCACAGGTAAGTCTCGCTGGCCTCCGCCAGCCATCTCTCTCCAACACTACTACCACTACCACTACTNATGGAGCTGGAGCTATGGCGCCACAGGTAAGTCTCGCTGGCCTCCGCCAGCCATCTCTCTCCAACACTACTACCACTACCACTACTTAGCGCCCTCCGCTGAAGACTACTCCTGTAGCTATTAGCGCCCAGCGTTGAAGACTACTGCTAGCGCTAAGCTACTCCTGCAGCGCTCCTCCAGAGTGCTGCTGCCGAATCCTGAAGACTGCCTCCAGCCTTCTGTCCAACTACCTCCCCGTGAAGTGCATGGGAACTCCCCCTATGTACTAATCGGCCTACCTCCTGACTGCCTGCAGCTGCAGGGCGAGGCAGTCCAGGAGGCTGCTCTTGCCAATGCCAGGGCAAGCCAGGGGCTGGCGTGGGGAACATACCAAAAATAGCTTGTTCCCAAAACCCCGGTTTGTTGCCTGAGTTCTAGGGCAGGACGATCTTATGAGGGCCCGAAAGTGGCCCTCCGTTTCAGGCTGAAAAGACTCAGGGCCTGAACGGCCCTGTTATAGGCTGAAAACGAAATAGGGCCTGCAGGCCCTCGTTTTCAGTTTTCAGGCTGAAACGACACGGGACCTGTAAGCCCTTATTTCTAGGCTTTTAGGCTGAGAATGCGGAACGGGCCCTGCAGGCCCGTGTGGCTACACAGTATGCCACACGAAGTGTCTAAAATGATGGCCCAGTGTCGGAAGGCGCTGTACCAGTTTGCTATCAAGCAGCTGGAAGAAGTCATGGAGTTGTCTAGGAAAGGGGAAATCAGACCAGAAGTGACCGAGGCTACGATTGACGCGAACATCTAGCAATTAAGAGAGGTGCTAGCTCCAGAAGAAAGGAAGAAAGAAGAACTAGCCCGGAAACATGAACAGGAACTGAGGCGAGAACAGAAAGTGAGAGAAATCATACAAGTGATAGGAACAAAAGGAAAGGAACAGACTGGCATGACACAGACGTTGTATCACATCATGACTTACCTCACCTTCTTAGAAGAAAAGATTGACAGACAACAAAGTCAGTTAGACGAGATTGCTGTAGGATTGCGAACTGTCACAAACATTGTGAAAGGGAAGCATCTAGTAGAGAAAAAGAAGAAGAGGTTAAGGAAGAAAAGAAAGAAGTCAAAAAGTTGATGAGTGATGTGATGAAGTATGTTGTTCCTCAAGATCAAAAGACGTCTAATGGAGGAGGACCGAGTCCGCCGTCTTTTCCACCGAACACTCCTCCTTCCACACCTCCCTCCTCTCCACCTCCAAAGTCTCCAGCTTCTCCGCAAGGTAAGGTAAGTACAGAACCGGAGAAGCCGAAAAGAAAAGAAAAAGTGAAGATGAAATTGCCTTTTACGTTTTGCAACCAAAAGGATGAGATTTTGTTGCTCTGGATAGCGAAAATACAGACATATTGTGGTACGGCCCCTGTCCAACCCGAGTCCCAAGTTGCTTTCTCCACTTCTTGTCTAGGGGGGGAAGCGAAGGAATGGGTACTGGCCGAAGCCAACGCTGCAGGTTTCGATGGCATTGGTGAGTGGGCTGCGACGTTGAACCTGAAGCAGTTCCTTGGCAAGATCAAGGAACGCTTTTCGGATAAGACAACGACCGATAAGGCCTTTGACCAGCTCACCACCATTAGGCAAAGACATTGGACCTCAGTGGAAGCATTGTCTCGAGAAGTTGATCGGTTGCTACAGGTTCCTGGATTGAACCTGCAAGATAACCAAGTCTTGTATATTTATTCCCGCGCTCTGCCCGAGCCCATTCGTGGACAACTCGTGGCGGAATTGAAATCCGAAAAATATAATTATAGGCAGTTTCGCGATTTGGCTCTCCAGCGAGAGCAAATGACTTCACAAGTAAAGAATTTTTATGCCTCTGTAGTAAAGTATGGCGGCGGAGGAGGCGCAGGTGTAGGCAAGCGGGTAATCTGGTGCCAAAAGCGCCAGGACCACACCCTCGTCGTCTTTGACGACGTTACTGTGGAGAAGTGGCCATTGGAGGCCGAGAGTGTGGCGAGCAACAGTGATTCCAGGAAGGGGGAAGTCACTGCTGTCGTGGTCAACAAGGGAGGACCACGACCGCCAGGAAAGAGGAAGAAGCCACGCTCGTTTCCCGAGCATCCCGGAATTGCGGCCGGAAAGCCCTAGGAAAATATGGGAATTTCACAAGAATTATGGTAGGAAAGAATGAACAATGTCTAAAGTGTGGTACCGCAGGGCACGTGATTGCTTGGTGCCCACTTATTCGGAATCCAAAAGCGAGCGGCCAATAGGAGTAGCATCTGCTCCTACTGAGTTAAAGGGTTTGGAACAAGAAGGTAAGGCATTTATGATCCCTTCCAACCCTTTGACTCGCACGACAGAGGATGGTTCTTCTTCGGCCTGTCGTTCAGAACACCCTAACTTGTCTTATGCACTGTCTCCCTGGACGACTCTCTTGACGAGCTTGGTAACGAGTTGCTTGCATTACGAAGCTCGTGGGCTAAGAAATCAAAGTCTAAGGGTGACCTACTAATCGCAGACGTAGAGATTGCACATACCCGTGTAGGAGCTCTGTTGGACTCAAGATGCATGCGATCCTACATATCCGAGAAAGCAATCCGCAAGTTACATCTCAGAATGAAGGTAAAGAATCTCTCTCGACCAATCACGTTTATCCTAGCCGACAAAAGCACGATCACTGTCTCGCAATATGTTGATCGTGTGAAGTGTCGATTCCGTACCAAGGAAGGAAAGAAGATTGTTTACGAGGTTTTCTTTCTTGCGGAGAAGAAGTTACCTTTTGATTTGATTCTGGGAATGGACTGGCACGAGGAAGCCAACCCAGATATCAATTTCAAAGAGAAGATTGTGCAATCGCGAGATGCACACTCTGAATTGAAACCTCTCAAACTGAACCATAAGTCTGGCTCTTACTCTAGTCTGTCTTTCTGTTGTATGAGTCATCCAGCATTTCGATCGATGGTTTTTCAAAGAAGAGGTTGGAACAGGAAGCAATGATGGTTTTAGTAAAAAGAGCAGGTGAGTCTTCTACTTCCTATCCTCCTTCGACCGAAAAACTCCTAAGTGAGTATAACGAGTTATTTACCGAACCAACAAGAATAACTGAACGTGCTATTAAGCACAATATTGAAATTATTTTTGGTAGTAAGATTCCCAAGGGCCCTATATATCGAATGTCTCCTAAGGAACTTGAGGAATTGCGAAAAACAACTGCAAGACTTAACAGAAAAAGGATGGATTCGCCCTAGCTCCTCTCCTCATGGTGCCCCTGTCTTGTTTGTGCCCAAAAAGGAAGGTGAGTTGCGTCTCTGTATTGACTACAGAGGGTTGAATGTTGTCACTGTTAAGAATGTCGAACCTTTACCACGCATTGACGACTTGCTAGACCAGTTGCAAGGCTGTAAGTTTTTTAGTAAGATTGATCTGAAGCCAGGGTACCATCAGATCGAGGTGGAACCCAAGGATCAACATAAGACCGCATTCTGAACGAGGTATGACCATTACGAGTTTGTGGTAATGTCCTTCGGACTGACTAATGCCCCAGCGACCTTCCAAGGGTCTATGAATGAACTTTTTCGTCAATGGTTAGACAAGTTCGTAATTGTCT